AAAGCTTGACTGAAGAAATGAAATCTGACTTTAAAGTTGTTAAAACCATTAAAAAATGCCATGGACATCAAAGATTGTTTAAGTAGCATGAGTGCCAGCTTCGTTCCCATTTTCCCATAATGCTTTCCTTAAAGTTTCCCATAATACCCTTTCCTTGCCATTGTCATCCATAACTGCATTCCACTTATTTCCATCAACTGAGAAGAATACTAAGAAATTGTGACATACATTCAAATGCTCAAAACGTTGAACTGCAACGGGTGTCCGGGGTGTACAGCGTCTGTCCAGGGAGCCGTGCGTGTAGCACTACAACTGAACCAGTAAGACCAAAATCACAGGTGGAGCAGCCCCAGACAATGTTGATGGTTAACTAAAACAAAAGGAGCCTATGACCTTCCTAAAACCAAGAGTTGGAAAGCTCTGTTGAGCTAGCAGTATTGTTGCAAGAAGTGATCGTGTGTCAGCGTCCCAAAGTATTTACAGGACTTTGCTGCAGTTTAATTCAATGACGTCAACAGTGTTAATATTTCATTGCAAAGTTTTAACCATTATTGACGTCATTTCCATGATTAAAATACCAGTAATTAATGGATGGCATTAGACTCTTTTCCCCTGAATTGTTTTTTTCACCCTTTTAGTTTTAATTTTGTGCCCTTTGCTTAAACATCGGTAAGTATTTGTACGAGGTCGTCACCTCCCTAATACTAACGTTGCGAACCGAGAAACGGCTTTCTCCTCAAGATTTTTCCTTCGCTTTTTTTTCACCTCGACAAGTTCGCCTTAAAAAATATCTCCTAGTATACCATTCTTAAACTTGGAAATTCGTTACCGTCCATTTTTTGCAAGTTTGCAATGGAGTTTTTCAAGTGAAATTTTTTCTCCAACATGATGAGGACTGCTGAGCGTTGCGTTACATGTCACGTTATTTTTATGATCTATGACCTTTATGTCAAAGGCTGTCGACCAATGAGCGCTCAAGAATTCTACAGCTGTTATAAAATAAATATTTATTAAACATTAATACTGGATTAATTTGTTGTAATGGTTTTCTCCGAAGTTCAAGTGAAGACTAGTTAAGAGACTGACTTTCTCATTTCAATAACTTTTATTTCAAGTTATTCTAGCTCGTTTTAGTTTTACGCGACAGCGTTGCTTGGTCGCCTTTTCCGGCGTTTGTTATTATAATATATATGATAAAATATTTCCGACGTAATAATATACATGAAAAATTTCTCAGTTCTGATCGGTCAAGATGAATGCAGTTTTCGGTTAATTCATTGCAGAAGAGGGTTAATTCAGTGCAAAGAAAGAAATAAACCAGACATTCTGATTGGTCAGAATGATTGGTCAATGTCCATGTCATTTGCAGAGTTTGAATAAATTATTTATGTACATGATGCGCGCGCTTTTCTTCTGCGTAGTTATGAGAAGCTACCTCGTATTTTTTCATGTATATTATTAATAGATAATCACATGATTTTCTCGCGCAATTTGGAATAAATAAGCACTTGTAAATTTTTTCAAAGACCACAAATTGCACTCGCCCGACGGGCTCATGCAATTTTGTTAGTCTTTGAAAAAATGTACTCGTGCTTATTTATTCCAAATTGCACTCGAAGTCATGTTATTACCTATACTAATAGCCTACTTCAACGGAAAAAGAAAGTATGACGTCATATAAGACAAGTGACTCTTACCATGTGCTCTCGAAGTTTGTCGATTAAACTTTCGAGTTGATGTTGTTTTTTTTTCTTAAAGACTGTTTGACGTCATATTTCAGCCTTACTCCAGTCCCTGTGCCTTGCCGATAGTGCAACCACACAAATGGTTGGTTTATCTATCCAGGCCCGTAACCAGGGGGGTGCACGAGGTGCGTTTGCACCCCTCCCCCACAGGCCCCAAAGGTCCACATTTTGATACTCCATATCCAAGTTAAGGAGTGCAGTCGGTTTAACTGAAGTTTAAAACGTAACAGTGATACTTAAACAAAATCAAAGAACGGAAAAAGCAGTAATGTATTCACTGGGAAACTAAAACCAGCTGCCCTCTAGTAGCCTGAGCCATTCAGAACATTTCAATGAGTGCACAGACGTCAGAGCTTATTAAATGAATAATGAAATTAACGTGCGCACGCTTTGCACGGGAGTTAAGACGAGCGAACCAATGACAAGGGAGCGATCTCACGACTTTTGTCAGACACGTCTGCTAACGCGTCGGGTAGTATTCTCTATTTGTACGAGCGTATGAACGCCCGACGATGCGAAATTAGTTTTTTGTGTCATACGTAATGGGTAGGAGAGAAGAGGAAAATGGAAAGATGAAGGCTGCAGCTAAATCTTGCCAGTCTCTCGATACATGGGTAAGTAAAGTACCCCGTCAAGAGCCGTCAGACGCTGACAATGACAGTGCAGTCTGCGATGAC